TATGATGCATAATTTGACCGCGAAATAAAGATGGCTTGTTACATAAAAGTTTTTGCAGCTAACTTATTACTAAGCATCTCAAAAGTAAGATCTAATGATACAGTAGTTAAGTACAATGGAAGCTGACATGATTGATATTTTGAGTTTATTACAATACTTCTTTCAAAAACCATATAAATCTCAATGCATTGAGTGATTAATGCAAAGAGCAGCTATTGACAGAATACTATATACAAATAACATATTTAAACTAGGAAAGAGAAAAATCAACTAGAAATGGACTTAAGTTACATCTTTAAAGATTAAATTTTTGTTCAGTATAATCAGAGAATCCAAAAATATCACTAAGAATGAGGCTGTTGGCATAGATTCTAATTTTGTTAAGTTTATCGCAAAAGGCGCACTTTTACGATTCTGAAAAGCTGCAGGAAGGCTTCAAATGAGTACCATTCAAATGACAGCTATAGACAGCTGTATCTTCGTGCACAGCTGGACTCAATAAGAATTTATCTGATACATAGAAGTCAAAAATCATCAAATGAATCACTAAATGAGAATATATAAGTTCGGAGCATAACTATCGTATGATGTTTAGATACTGCGTACTAATAAGGAAATAAAGGAAATATACTCACTATTTAAATTGCCTTGCAGCCTAAAAAATTGGCAAAATTGCGAAAATTAATACATATTTCATTTATTTAGAATAAGTCTGCATTAGAATGGGGCATTCATTCTGCATAGAAATTTATGAGACAAGTTCAAAGCACTAGTCAATAGCAAGACCAAAGATACATTTGTTCTATGAAAAAATGGATCGACTATTATATACTGTTTATATGAAATAGACCAAAAAATATACATTAGGTTACATCATCCTGATTTCGCAAAGCTAAATAAACGCAATTACCAAGAAGTTGAGATATCAGTTTTGAAACGTAATTTATGCTTTCTCTCCCAACAGCGATCATATTTCATAGATGTGTAACGTGAGAGAGAGGAAGATGTACTTTGTTGGGAAAAGGAGCGCTCTTGTCCGTGATGGTATATTATGAATCGATTTCTGGATCCGAAAAGACAATCTGGTATGGTAAGAAATTGCAAAAGTCATAATTTAATTCATGCTTTACGACAACAGATTGACTAATGCAGTATGTAGAGACACAGATTAACGATATTCAACACTGTTAACACAAAAGGCTAGGGCCTTAGAACATATATAGGAATCGCATGTGACCGATAAAGACTACAGTATTTTCAAAATAGGGGTCTGAACTTACGTCATTGAACTGTACATTGCCATATTTGCCAATTTCACCAATGCAGTGGTAAGCGGCATCTTTTACGAGAATCATCTCGCAAAGCTTCATGGGCTCGCTTCGATATAGGGAACCCATTTTGCTCGAAAGAGGCTTACTTATGGGTATATAAGCCCGTGAAGTTGA